TGAGATGGGAAGCTCTGAGGGAGGACATGTTGCAATGCACAGTGGCAAGACGAGGGAGCCTCTCACTCTACCTGGGAGGGAAAACACCATCGGATCCAAAGATGTGGTCGCCAGACATGAAAGCAGTCCGGGCAACGATCAAGTACGCAATGGCGACAGGGAGATTGGATCTTGACGAGGAACGACGAAGATTGGGACAATCACAGTAGCGGAACTCCACTAACACTACACAGCCTCAGCCAGCAGATCCCGCTTTAGCTGCTGAAGATAGGACGCTGAACACTTGGAGAACGCAGCCTCCAAGTCGATCTGCTAAACTAAGTCAGGAGGCAACAGGTGGCGTGAGAAAAGGGGAGAGAGTAGAGGGCTTGTACGAGTTGATGACCGAACGTCAACGAATCGGATGTAGTTAGCGTGCCAAGGCCCTTTAGGCTTCGTGCCTCCGGGCGAAATAAATTCCATCCATCCATCCATCCAACCAACACAGGTGGCCGGCTGTTCTTATACCGGGTACCTGGAAGCCAGTTGAATGCCGTCTTGGCTTTGGTCTATCTCAAACTCTCTGACTGAATCTTGTCTTATGCAGTCGAACATCGGACAGTGTCCTACTCTTACTGATATACTGGTGGACTTGGATCCTTATGACTAGCTTCGTTGTGCCGCGAAAAGGTCACGGTCAGCCGACATGAGAAGCAGACCAAGACGCAATGCAACGGTAATCCTGCCATTCAAGCACACTGCATGATATGAGGACATGCTGCTGATGGACGACGCTGGATCCAGATTATGAAGCACCGTAAGGTAAGTAAGCTCGAGGTAAGTTGTGACTTTGCTTGGCAACGACAGCAACAGTTCTCGGTCAGGTGCCTCTCACCGTGGTGAGCGGGTTTGGATGGCGTCATCCTTGGCCTCTGAGTCAGCGACTTCGCCGCTTTAACCGGCCCGCCCGGGCACGCTTAGCTGAACGGTGCATCGCCCCACTCCAGCCACCAGCTGCCCATGGCGTCGAGTGTTCCAAGAGACAAGCGACAAATTTGATCGTGAATACACGGAGACTTCAGCAACAACGCTCGCACCCAGTACATAAGCAAGTCTGGAAGATATAATCCCGCGAAGCCAGCTTACATGTGATATTGTTCCCCAGTTGGCCTGCGGTGGCAGGTTTTGTCCTCATCCCGGGTAAATGACCTTCGCTACCAGAAGCTGCTACGGCCGTACCGTGATTGAGTTTGCTGATTCTCACAGTCATGCAGGCAACGTTTCTGTTTTCCCCAGGCGCCATCCTCTGTCCTCTCATCGGCATGTTGACATAATCGCTCGAGAAACAACAGGATCCATTTGGCAACTTTCGAAGCCTAATGGCTGATGTCAGACGGAGCTGGAGCAGTTAAGACTCAGTTGATTATAATTAGCAGATAACGTTGAAACGCTAGTGGGTTCATGTCGCATCTCACATCTCTAATCTCGCATTCCCGTCAAACGTCGGGGGCTTTTCACTTCCGATACGACGCACCAAGCCACACGTGGTGGCAGTACATAGCTCAAAGGCCTCGGCAGACTCCTCGACGAACCGTTTTAATCTGCTATGCATCTTGCATTCGACGGTTTATCTTTACAGCCTGCCGCTGTTTTGGAGTTCCTCGACGTCCTTCGCTCGCTCACCTTGCCTCCTCGCGGACACCCTGAGGCCCGACATGAATGAGTTGGTGCTCCAGCCCATCTTGAAACTGGGCGTCGATCTCGGTTTTTCCTGCGCCTTGGCTGGAGTGGCTGGACTGCTTTCTCACCATCTCTACTTCATTCGTGGGTTTCACGTCCTCAACGCCACCAAGATTACGTGCATCCACCTCTTTGCTTTTGCCCTCCTCCTTGCCAGAGCTGCAGCCGAGAATGGATTTCTCCCTGGTGCGAGGAGCGCAGTCGCGATATTCTCCTCTTACCTGGCTGTCTTGTTCCTCAGCATAGCCATCTACCGAGTCGCCTTCCATCCACTCCGCCGATTCCCTGGGCCTTTTCCTGCGAAAGTGACCAAACTTTATGGCCCTTGGCTGGCCAGAAATAAGCGCATAGGCGACGAATTTCGCGTTCTTCACCAGAAGCATGGGCATTTTGTGCGAGTCGGTGAGATGATCAGCTCAGAGTTGGTCTAATCCGCCCCGGCTAAACTGTTACGCCTTCAGGCCCAAATGAGATCTCCATTTCGCATGCCGATGCGCTGAAGCAGATCCATGGGCTGCAGACCGCATGCTCAAAAAAGAATAATGCCTCATACGAAGCAATACAGTTTAGGGGGGAACACAATCTTGACTCTCTCACGGATCATGCTGAGCATCGGCAAAGGAGGAAGGTCTGGGATAAGGCTTTGAGCAAAGCAACGTGAGTAATGGTTCCGATCGGAAGCACTACGAATCGCTATTAACACGTCAATCTAGCGCTCTTACTTATGAGGCTGAGACACGGATCGTCGTCAAGTCATGGCTTGACCAGCTCGAGAGACTCCACGGCGCATCAGTCGACACTAGCCTGTACGCCAAACACATTGCGTGCGACAACATGGGCCGCATAGGCTACTCCAGAGATTTCCGCAATATCCAGGGCGACGGGGATAGTCGGATGTTCGATATGATCGAGATCACATTCCGCACCATGTCCAAGCTGGGCCAGCTCATCTGGCCGCTCGTTCTGCTCTTCTCCCTGCCCAGGTTTGGCTTGCAGAAAAAGTTTGAAGAGCTCAGCGTTGCGTTGGTGGATGAGCGACTCAAGGTGAGTCCAGCTTGATCACAGATCGCTCGAACGCGTCAGGAGCTCGGTCTGATCCCAGCAGCGGCACAACGACTCGGAAGATCTACACGACATTATGAGGCTTTTCATCGAAGACTTCCTGTCCAGCAAGCCACAGGCCTTTTGGAACAGGAATATCCTCTATGCGGACGCGCAGGCAATCATGGTTGCCTCGACGTAAGTGTAACCGACGCTCCTAGACTGGCACTCCCCATCATCTGGCCGCTGACTTCAACTATCTCATCTCCCAGGGAGACGATTGCATGCTCTCTAAGCTTCTCGTTCTTTTTTGTGGCGCGGGACGCAGCTCTCCAACGGCAGCTTCGCGAGGCCATTGCTCCTGCCTACGGCCGAACTCTCCCCGGAGAGTTCACCATGGCCGATCTCCAAGGGATCGAGTTTCTGGACGCCGTCATCAATGAGACACTGAGACTGTGCGCCCCCGTGCCACTAAATGGTCCCAGGTCGACTCCGCCACAGGGCATCGAGATCGGCGGCACCTACATTCCGGGGAACGTCCACATCTACACGCCTCCGCATGTGTACCACAGAAGTCAGTTGAGCTTCCGATAATCTCCCTATAGAGACGGGAGTAAGAGAGGACTAACCATTCAATCCAGATCCTGAATACTTCCAGTATCCTGACGAATTCATCGTCGAGCGATGGCTGACCCGGCCTGAGCTGATCCTCGACAAACGCGCATTCCTTCCGTTCAGCCTTGGTGAGTACCTAGTCAAATCACGAATTCGATGTGACAAACACTAATACGTTAACTACGAGCAGGCCGATACGACTGTGTAGGCAAATCGGTAGCGCTCAACGTGCTCCGGCTGACACTCGCCTACACGGTCTGGCATTACGACTTTGAGCTTGCCCCGGGCCAGAGCGACTCCGCCTTCATGAATGGCTATGTGGATCAGATCGTTGTGAAGCCTGCGCCGCTGAAGTGCATTTTCACCAAGTGGAGTCGGCCGGGCGAGCGTGGCCAAGGCTCCGCGGTTGAGGCGGGAAAGGAGTACCCGGGAGCTGTTCAAGATGATGATCTGCCGGAGTTGCGGCAGCGATTTGGTCGGGCTCAGTCTACGCGATGAAGTAACGGCTTCGATAGCTGCCTCCAGTCATTTGGCCTGTGGATCAGATCTAATTTGGGGCTCTCCCCAAAGTAGTTGCCGATTGCTGCCTGGGTGAGGTTTCAGGGACCTCAGCGTACATGAGAAGGCATCAGGTTAATGGAGGAATTTATGTTTGTTCCCAGCGAAACCTCGGACCTCCTCGCGGCAGTTCCCCGACACACTTTGGCCAGCTTTGAAGGACTGGACCGTACCAGTCCAGTCCGAGATGACCGGGTGTGGACCTGGGGCATGCTTCACTCAGAGATTCGCCCACAAGAACGTTATCAGCAGCTCAATCATTGACCACACTGGCATTCCCTCATGGGCCCCGGCTAGCAATTGGCTGGGGCATTCTGTTGGTTGCTCTTGGTGGGTGGTCAACCGCGGCTTCGCCGGTATTCATGAGAACAGGATGCATCAACGCAGTCAGATACCTGCGAAGAATTCCGGCACAAGTCACTTGAGTTGACGCTAATCTTCACATCAATTTCAGCTAACTTACATACAAAATATAGGGAACCGTTCTATTCTTTTCAGACTTCAGTATAACCTACCTGTAACGCCTCCCTCACCACTCACCTCTCGGCCATTGAGTTCCCTCGCATTATGGCAACCTCCCATCGAAGACCCTTGCTTTGTCAGGTACAAGTACCTACCTTGACTACCTTAGGTACTTACCTCAAATACTACCTCAAATACTACCTCCACATGCAATCTACCACCCCTTCTCGTGCTGCGGCCGGGACCACAAACGCCTCCAACCAGGCCTCACGCTCTCCATCCCATGCGTCGCCCAAACCGCCGCCCCAAACCTCTCGTGCAATACCCTCCCCACCGCCGCCTGCTCTCCCACAGCGCCCTGCAATCCGTCCCCGTCACACGATCCACCATCTCGTTCCACGTAGGGCCATACACGCCTGGCTCGAAGAGCACCGTCTCCGTCTGCCAGACGTATCACCACGCCATGGCGACCCGACAGGGCGGGCAGCAGGGCGGGATGGAGCCGCCCTCGGGTAGCGTGGGCGAGATTGCGGGAATGCATGTCCTGTGACTGTGACTTGTGGCTGTGATGGTGACTGTGGTGGGGGTAGTATGGTTCCATTTCTGGAGCAAGAAAAGCTTCTGGGGAAACGGCGGGAAGGATAAGAGGGCGCGGGGTGTGGCCGCATTGCGGGCGGACGAGGACTGTGTTGCAAGCCTGGCAGCGGGGGTGTAGATTGCGGGCGTGGGAGGAGGTTGTGAGGTGGCCGCAGGGTAGCACGACGGCGGGTTCGTGGTTGTAGAAGGGTGTGTCGTCCGGGTGGGCTGGTCAGGGGGCCAGGGGGGGAAGGGGAGGAGGGGTGGGTGAGGTGCAGTTTGATGAACCGCCAGAAGGGGACGTCAAAGCAGGGAGACGGACTTACCACGGATGGGGGAAAGCCGGGCGGAGGTTGAAAGTCCAAGTCAATGTCGACGCCGTTGTAAATGGGCTCGGTTGTGTCGTGGCCCAGTCAACTTCGACTTGGTGCTCAGGCTCGGATGGGCCCGGAACAGGGGCCAGACTGGCCGGGCCTCGTTCGATGCGATCGGAACTTCGGGAGCGAGGATTGGAGTGGTCTGGTTGTCCGGGATAGACCAGCGTCGGGAAGCCAAGGTGAGGGCTCTCTAGGAGTCAGAGTGTTGATGTGCTGGGGGTGTCAGAACTTACCTGCGGTGTCAAACACGACGTTTGAGCGTTAAGTTCTCAGTCTCCCGAGGGTTTGCCGGTTGGAAACGAAACCCGCGGTGAACGACTGACTTCCAAGTTGGTCTTCAGATGACAAGTGGCCCATGATCATCAGGCTTATATGCAATGACGTTCTTTGGTGGCATGGCCTGTTCACAAGTTCACTTCGACAAAGAAAGGCATTGTAGGATTCCTTTGACCGCTCATAATCAGCTTGTGCCAGTGGCGATGCCTCTCGGGAAGACTGAGCCGGGTAAAGACAAATCGAGCGAACAAAGGAACTGAAGCCAGCCAGTTAATGTTCAAGACAAGATCAAAACAATTGTTAACAACTGGAATGAGCTTAGGCTGCTTGTGATTTGGCCTGGAGACCCACGAGGCAAAATTGGCTCTATTCTACAATCGAAGTGTTTCATCATGCACTGTGCCCATTGTTCCCTTGCGATTATTGCCATATTCTTCTGAGGAAAGCCTAAACCCAGTCGAGCAACTACCGTCCTCGCCACCCTTGTAGTCGATTCCCCTTCTTGCTCCAACATCGCCTGACTTGTCTCCTTTATGCTTTTCCTTTCGCCGCCTCCATCATGAGCGTAAATGCCAGGGACACGATTCCCCCGATGGCTGTTGCCGCCTGGTCGAGCTCGCTGAGACTCACACCCGTGTCAGGAATCATAGGGACGATAAGCGCTGTAAAATATATGAAACAAGTCAACGTTATCATCAAGCCAAATACCACAAGAAGGCCGACCAGCAAACAGAACCTCTCAGGCTCTCTTCGATATGGGATCTCATAAAAACCGAGGGCCGGACGAAAGATGAAAGTTGCTATGACCCCCGATGCCAATGCAGAGCCCTAGAACAAGACGTAGGTCAAAGGAAAATCATAATAAGCCATGAGTGCCCACAGCCAATTCCAGCCCATGAACTGTAGAACCAAGAGAACCAAACTCGACCAGCAAAACAAAACACGACGAAGATGAGCCAGCCAACCGGACCTTTGAACCGGCGCAATTCCCCACCGTACCGACTTTTCAACGAGGGGAAGCACAGTAACAAAGAGACATGGGAAAAAGAAAGCGTTGAAGCACCTTTACAGGACCCTGAAACCCAACACAGAGCTGGAACACAGTTATGCTCGGTAGAGTGTCATCAACGAAGTGCCCTTCTGGCACGCCCAGGTCGAGAACCGTGCTCTCGAGACGGCTTCGTTAATGGGGAAGGCAGCGAGACGCACCGCCATGTCGCCAGCGACGATGGCGGGATAGCTGAGCGCGGCGACGAAGTCAGCCAGATAGGCGGACTCTGCTTCTCGGTCGTAGGGTGGTGTCGGCACTCCATTTGACCATGATCGAGAAGACAACCATGTACCAGCAGAAGATGACGCCGAGCCCGTAGGATGAGGAGTCTAGGAGATAGGGGTTGGGGTCCGTGTCTCCGACGGTTGAGGGATCCTCGCGTTGGCGGCGCTAAAGACCCAGTCTCAGTAGTCCTGTCGTCTCATGTTTCCGCGGTCGTTTCGTGCCGAGATGTCGCCTCGGTTCTGAGAGACTTGGAGGTAGGTTGATGATGACTCGGAGATTCAGAGACAAGAGGAATTTTCAGCCACTCAGTAATCAAGACATCCGCCCAACCCTCAGCCTCACGCACTGTCCCAAGCCACAAACATGCCAGCTTCTCGAAAAGCTACTGTACGAGGCAATCGGATGTGCCACAGCGCCTCCTCCTCTCAGCTCAGGGGTCTCGCTGGTTGGCCTGTTGTCATGAGGCGCTACTGCAAAACCTCTGGGTTCACACCGCGAATCACAATTGATACATCCGGGCCAGTTCCTCCAGCTTCCAGGTCGACGTGGAATCATGTTGGTACCGTAGTGACATCTCCACACGGCGCCGAAGTTACGCATTTTCCGACTAGCGGTCGGGTGTCGCCCTCTGGAAGGTCCCAGCTGACACGCGGAGCGCTGTACTCGACGTTGGTCGACGACAACTCGGTCTTGAAACAAAAGCCTGAACATGTTGTTGGAGCAGGTAAATATCTTACCTTACTTTATGTAGACATAATGCTTGAAACAAAGAGGCAGCCAAGATCACTACATTGAATGCTAAGAGGCAGCGGCTAGTTTTCAGTCATAAACGAGAAACTGTGTAAGTTAATCTTCTAAACAAAGATAAACCCGAATCAGCGAATATCTCTGTCTCTAGGTACCTGTTGGACCTTTGTTCTTTGGGAGGTTAACCTCCATTTACATCACGTTCAAATCCTATACCTTACTCCAATGTGCTTCGTCTCGCCCGATGACGCCACGTTCCTAGGCTTCCAAGCATCCCTCTCCTCCTTGCTCTCTGCCTGATAAGTCTCCGTATCGCCACCTCCGTCCTCCCCCTCAGGGATCTCCCGTTGCCTGCTGAGACCACTTTTGCAGAAGCCTCAACCCGATAGTTTGACTTATACGCGGCCTCAAGCTTGCGGCAGCCTGGACAGCCCTCCTTGGATAAGTCGGGGGTTGGGCTTCCGACACCAGATGCACAGGCCCTTGGCATGTAGTTCATTGTCCTTTCGCCTTTCTTCCCCGGCCACCAGCAGGAGCGGAAGGGTGTGCAGTGCCCAAAGAGATGCCTGAGTCAAAGCATGCATTGGCAGTGGTAGGTGGGTTGGCGGGGATCTCTGAGTGAGTCATTAGGAGATTCGTGTTACTTTTCAAATACCTGAGGTCAGAGCCACTTCCAAGCAGCCACGGTGGTGTGAGTCCCAGCAGAGACATAAAGGCGGTAATACAGGCGGTTGGCTAGTGGGTTGAGCTCAAGGTCAGCATCATGTTTGCAGAACTGGGGCTTCAGCTTCAGCTCGTGCTTAGACTGGGAACCTCCGATCCATGAACGTGTGCCGTCTCCGCATGAAGGGAGCCTTGCTTGCAAAAGGCGCACGCTCCGAGGACTCGGACTGTGCCAGCGCTACACCGACTGCGCTAATCATGTGAAATGTTCTGCAGGTGTTGGCAAGTCGGTCAACTGCCGAATCTTTGATCTGTTGTGTACTCGGATGTGAGAAGTCGGCCGTGGAAAACCCTCTCATTGTGCGCATTGTCTGTCTGCAGAAAAGAGACGTTCGGTACGCCGGTATCGGTACCTGTAACTTGGACGATGGGTAAGGTAGCCAACCAATTCGTCAAACCACTTGATCTCAACGATTACACTGTTAGAGGCAGGAGAAACAAGAGGGCATGTCTCCAAATATGTTCAATAGAGCAGTATAGGGCAAGGTATAGGAAGAAGGAAGGAGGACTCGTATACCCCGTGATATTGGAGAATCCTTTAATCTCAACCCAGCTTGGCGTTGTCGCCGCTCTTTTCCGCTTCCGCATCTTCACCATCTTCTCCTGGCTCCAGTTCCCTAGCCCCGAATCCTCTTTTTCCCCAGCAGACCGCCCTCTCGTCTCCCGCAGCCTCTGGCGGTATTTGGTCGTGGCGGCCGCCCTCAACGGGAGGCATTTAGGACAGCTCTTGTTCGTGAGGTCGGGATTCGGGTTCTTGCACCAGATGCACAAGCCCGGCTCATGAAGCTCCCTGTTCTTTCGTGCCCTTCTTCCAATCCCTTTAACAGCGATACTCAACGTCTCGCCGGGAAAGGATGCCCGGTTGGCGGTGTTGCCTGAGTGCGCCATGATGCCCTCTGTGGCCCGGCTGTATCTTCGCTCAACTCAATTCGTCGAGCTCTGAAGAGTCTAAGGTAGGATTGGTAAAGAGAGGAGAAGTGTTATCAGACCTGTCTGGGCCCGTCTGGACCGATCGATATGCAGGAAATGGTGCAGATGAGGTGGGGAGAACAGCGGTATGCCCATGAACAGGAGGCAATATCGGAGCAACTGGGCGAGCAGGTAGCTGATGCTGAGTTTGCAGATACTCCAAGTTATGGCATTCAAGCGGCCTCGTATTACTGCTCACGGGAACTGGATTTCTCATGGGAAACTGGGAGAACTGGTTGGCTGGGCGAAAACGAGACAAGACGACTAAGTTGGTCCCGTACTCCCGGAACTGGGGTTTCATGTCGAATTGCATGGCATGCGATGTTTATGGGCGCCCTGGGGTTGTCTGGAGGCTTGCCGGAATGCCGGCACCACCCTGCGGGTGACTGGGCCCCCGCGCGGGGCCGTATTGACAAGACGGGGAATCTGGGCCGGTCCGTCCATGGTGAAAGATTGATGATTAACTTGGTCCTGGTCTTGATCAGAAGTGGGCAAGAAGAAAAGCATCATCTCCCACAGCTGGCATTGCAATGGTGCGCTCGGGGAACCGGCCGTCCAGCGGAGCGTCAAACCCTGCAGAGTTGGTGATTTCCATTCGAGAGTCTTTAAGAGTCGGGTCCATGAAATTGGTGAGGTGGGTTCCTGGCGGTAAATCGTCGCAGGCAAACTCAAGCTGGGCTCGGGAGCCCCATGGTTTGACTGACGATGCTCCCCAAAGCTTCGAGCAGGCTGTGTTTGGTGCCCAGTTAACGGGTGATAAACCAGTACCTGCCACAGAGGCACACAGTAGTTGAAGGGAACACAACCCACCTGGTAGGTTGGCTGGAAAACGATGTTTGGGCAGTTGGCGGCACTGTCGTTGATATCGTCGAAGGGCCTGATGCTGCCTGGGAGGATCGTCAAGGTTGGCGATAGGAGCGCGAGTAGGCTCAACGGTGGCCGCAGCGGGACCCGCAGGTGAATAGAGACCGTAGTTGTTAAAACCCGCCGCCAGATAGTTGGGTTCAGCTTGCGGCAGCTCCGGCGCGTTCACCTCTTCATCCTGCTGCATGGAGTCGGGGTGGCCGGCCAGCATGGCTCCCAGCGCCTCTTCCATGGCGTCTCCATCTGGAAGCTCCCACTGCCGGTTGAGATTGGTGCCATCGCTTGTTTTGTTTGTCTCGGCGCAATCGTCGCAATTTCATCGCGAATACCTGCCCGACTGAGTCACATGCATGCGGCGCAATTTCTGTCCGACATGTTGCTGGTTGTGATTCGCAAATTTGTGGAGGATGTTATGTCCGGTTCTGTCAGTAATGAAGGATTTGAGATTTGCAGGTGAATTTCTGTCGAAATTCGAGCGAGGGTTGGCAGAACCGGCGAAGGTCTTCCCAAACAGAAATACGTCCACCACAGCTTGTCTGGGCTTTCTCGTGGTTTGGGATCAACTCAACCAAGCACTGTAAGCCTCGATGATCCGAGTACTCGACCACATGACGGTGCCTCAATTCCTCGGACAGCTCAGCCATTGTCATGGTATATGGCCATTGTTTACTTCAACTCCATGCAAAGATGAGCTGCCCTCTTCTAACAGAGATTAAGGTAGTCAAGGGCTCCGCTTGAAGCTCTTGAAACAATGCCATTGTCCTTCTATTTAGCTCAACCATTAGTTAGAGATATAAAGGGCTATACCAATATCATATGGACTTAGAAAATTCATAAATGGGCTTGAGAGCTACTTTAACTGCCTATTGAGGCCCAGCTTCGCGCCTATCGAGAAAGCCTGGCAGGGACTAAAGCAGTACGTACGAAACGGCCTTGTTGGGAAGACTCTATTGTAAAGGAGGGTGCAAAGGAGGGTTGAGACTCAGTGAAGCAGGAATCCATCAACAAATGGGTGAACCAGGTACCGCTGATCTTGAAGGATTATATCGCCTTAGGAGGATTTACCGGCAATTGAAACACAATAAGTTGCGTCAGATTAGAGTATTCCGCTAACGTTAATGTCGTTCGAAATAAGTTTTGATGGGGTCTTTATAGAAAACAGCTTCTTGTATACAGGGTCAGGCTAGGTACAGTACAGTACCTTATATGGCAAACCCGGAGGTCTGACTGTCACCAGTTTGCTTGTGCACCAATTCAACACCAACATTACCAGACTGGCATTCCTGAGAATTATTATTGCAAGATTAGAATTGGCGACTCAAAACATATGGCTGACATTCCCCATGGCCGACGAAAGGCCCAGATTATTTGGAATATTCAGAGGTACGTTTACGATGCCGCTTGCCAAGACATCAGGGGCAAATCCCCTCAACCCCTGATTGACATCTAAACAACCATCGATTATGACAGAAACCTCAGGATCACTGAACAAGCAAAGCAGCAAACACGCATCACTGACTGTGTCAGTGACCATTCACGGGATTCGTCATCTAAACCATACTATCGTATTCGCAGACAGTCCAGCAGATCGCACTGCACCGCGACCAGCCCTTGACAAGGACCTCTGCCCTCCACTATTGCATCCTCATCCATAAGGACAGCTTGGGTGTCAATATTACATCATTCTATAAGTCCGAATCATGCAGGATTCAGATCATCGAAGGGGTTCGAGAACAGGGAAGGCATGCGTGCGTCGACGAGCATGTGCGCCGACGAGTATGAATTATACACGAAAAGAAGGGAAGAAAGATGCCGACCCTTGTAGATGCCCACGCCCCAGATGCAGGACATGTATTCAAATATCCACACCCGTATGACACGAAGAAAAATGAAAATACTAGAACGCCCATAGCCACCAACTCTTGAAATAGTAAGGACCTCATGGCGGCGGCACCTTTCTATCCCCGTCCTGATAGATTTGCGGCCTTGAAATCCCACCATTCCCATTCACATGCGCATATCCCTTCTCCGCCAAGCTCCCATTCGCCTCGCCCTCCTCGTCCCCAAACACCTTACTCTCCAACCACTGCGTAACCCTCGCGCACGCGCTATCCACCCACCTCATCCACGCCCAGGCCGAAACGTACGTCAGAACGGTAAACACCAAAACAGCCACCGTCTTGTACGGTCTGCCCCGCGGCAGGATCCACACCGGCTCCCTATCCGTCCCGTCCTCGTTCTTCCCCGCGGGCTCCCACGGCTCTCCTGTAATGCCATAGACAATCCAAATAGCGACGGTGCGCAGGATGGTCCCGTGGACGAGGTAGACTGCAAAAGAGTGATGGCCGAGCCAGATGAGCAGACGGTGCGAGAGGAGGCTTTGCAGCGCAGGGGACAGGAACAGCGACACGGCCGCGCACATGATGAAGAAGGCCGACGTCCGGCGGTGGGGTTCGCTGTCCCTGGGCACGACGATGCTGCCGCCGTCGACGAGGTATTTGTGCAGGAAGCGAGACCAGGTGGACCAGTCCTCGTGCTCCATCGGGTAGGAGCCGATGAAGCCACCGATGAGGAGGAGTAAGGGGGCGACCACGAAGGTGAGCAGGCGCTGGTGGGAGGAGATGAAGTTTTGGGTGGGTCGGTGCTGGGAGAGCTCGGCGAGCAGGGTGCCGAGGGCGAGCATGGCGCCGAAGGTTTCTGTGGCAGGAGTCAGTAAGTGCGGTCGGCAGCGCAGGGGCGGCAAGGGTTTAAAGGGTATCGTACCTGTCAGGGCGTTGACATTCATCAGCCAATACATGATCAGGAGCAGATGGACGAGCATCCGATACTGGAACCGCATCCCAATGGTGGCCGCCAGCACGATGTAGACCTGGAACGCCCCGATCAACAGCGGCCTCATAGCCCACTGGTGGCGATCAAAGATATTCTCCGTGTTTGTCCACGTCGTCAGCGACGTTGTAAACAGCCGCCTGACGTTCTCCCTGAACGACACATGATCCGGCGCATCGAAGCGGACCCAGAAGCTATTGCAGCGGTTGGCCGCCTTGTAAGCGCCCAAGCACGACACGGCGAAGCTGATGAAGGTGGCTACCAAGGCCGGAAGGACGAGCCGTGGTGGGCGGCGGAAGGCGCTGCGGGCGATCGACTTGAGCGCGGCGGCCGTGTTCCCTTGTGGGTAGGCGAGCTTCAGGGGCTTGTAGGCGCACACGAAGCCCGTCAGAAAGGCGAAGATGGGCACGCCGATGCGCCCCTGCCAGGGTATCCGCAGGTACGGCAGCTGCAGCAGTCTTGGCGTCCCATCCTCGGAGTCGGCGGGCCAGAAGAGGGCGAAGTCGAACGCTCGGGAGACGTGAGTGGTGATGACGAGAACGGAGGTGACGCCTCGGAGGCCCTGTGGATGGCAGACAAATCAGATACCGGCTTGTGCAGGGTGGCATGATGAAGTTGGAGGTAAAGAGCGGACCTCAACCCATTTGATACTTCTTTGGTTTGGCCTTGTACTCATGTTGTCTGTTCAACAGCCTCTTCGGATCCAGTCCGATAGAGCACGAAAAGAATACAGGCCACGGATAAGGATGGTGCCGCTGGTCCTCCCTTCGATGGTTCGGAACAGAATTGCCAAGTCTCGAGAGAAAATAAAGGAATTCCCAAGCGATGCCGAGACAGTTCCAAGGTCTGATCCAAGCCAGCCGATGCAGTAGTATTCTACCGTAGACAAGGTGGGGATCAAAGGGTAGCCGCCAACCATCGGGGCGGATAATGACAGAGGGAGACCGGAAGTCGAAGCAGCGTTCAGGGCATCTGCCGCCGTGCAACGCGTCAGCCGCCGGGATTGCTGAAACGAAAAACAGCCCTTGGAGCTTCCTGAGCAGCGATGCTCGCGCGATCCAAGGCCGGCGGGCTTTTTGGGTCTTATGGCATCTGTTTGACGTTTTCACTTTCCTTCTGCCCAGGATCCCTGGATTCCATTCCAGGCACGCGGCTCTCAACTCCAAGTCCTCCGCTGCTATCCTTGCTGGGAGCCCCACCATCACTTTCACGCTGGACATTGCCAAGAGGGCCAAAAACGATGCACTCGAGATGTGTTTCTGGAGTTTTGTGGAGTCGGGAAGCCCCGTTCATCAATGATGCTAAACATCCGCTGCCTGCGGCAACCACCCCCCAAGCCGCATGCCGATGAGGATTCATCAGCGATCAATTGACCAACTCATCTCAGCATCTGAGATGTCATGAAAGCTTGGTGAGCTGTCGTCTAAGGTACCCCTGCCGCTCTTCATCACCGTGCAGCAACGGATTTATCTGTCGTCATTTACCAGCATTCGGTCGAAGTGACAGAACCAGAAACCTTCCATCAAACGTTGCGATTTCCTTTCATTCCCCCTCTGAGAACTGAGAACACCCCCTTTTTTGTACCTGCACATAACTATCAGCCTACCCAAACAAGCGGAGCTTAGCAGGAGCTTAGCAGGAGCTTAGCAGTCCGCTTTTGGACTTGATGAGATGTCTCATCTGCCCCACCGTCCCACAAGCCACGCAAGCCTCTGGGAAGATCACCGTTCTGCAGCTTTGTGGAATCTCCAGAGGGCATCACGTGGACATCTCCGGATCCCAGGGGACTGATGCTAAGAGAACCAACCAGGCCACAATATCCATCTAGCGCGGCTCTCAAAGCTTGGCTTATCTCGCTTATCTCGTTTGTCACTCCACACCTGGGCTTTTTTCTGGTTCTGTGCCGTCCTGCCGATCATCTCACATCTCATGGACAGCGATGCGATTCACAGTTTTATCATCTTCACCACAGGTTCGGCTGGGCAATACTTGGACATCACTCTGAAAAACAAACTAAAAAAAGAAGCAGAGATATCTGACGTGAATCTCGTGATGTGTCGATGGCTAACAGGTGTGCGATACACAGATTGGGAGCGGTTGTTGAGTTTAAAGGCTGACTGCCGAGAAACGTCTGCACCACAAACCCGATATCATGGACCCGCCGGGACAATGAGCCGCATCTCGCTCGTCGGGGGGGCATAAATCGGACAACGGCAAGACCACCGGCCCAAAAACCGTCAATGAAGCGCTCGAGTAACTTTGGACTCACCGCGGTACGTTATAGCTTGATGCCTTCCAGTTGCCGATTGTTCCAAATTCGTTCGAGATGTGGAGCCGACATGCTCCGTCATGTTTCAGTATCCCCTCTTACGCATACCTTTTCCCCTCGGGTTAGTGATCATCCTTTTGATCCTCAGGATCGATCATCAATTAGGTACTCCGTACACGCGCATGTGGCACGTTCCAGACCCCCGACCCTACCACAGTACATCATCCCCCACAACACATCAACTACAGTACCTAGCCTGCTCTCGTCAAACGAGATACCCACATCGGCGGTGCCCACACCCTGGTTGCCGGCATCCAGCACCCTCATCCCAATGGCGGTGTATGTTTCGGCTCATCCGTGAGGGAGCCACTTTGAGCCTCCTATAAGGAGTATAGCCAGGGAAGCGTACAAAAACGTACACTACACGTAAGTCTCCAGGGGGGCAGATGAGCAGGTTTGGCCACTTGCACCAATCGCAGGGCTGTCTCGTAGATCGGAGCAAATCCTGTCAGTGACTTCGGATTCGTTCGGCAGTACTAAACTAAACGACGCAACTGATGTACTCGGTATCATGTTCTATCACAAATACATAACAATGGAGATCTTGTGGAAAGGAGCAGTTACAGCGCGCTTCAACACCTTACGTGTACGACATGACGAGTTTATTCACCCACATCCCTCCGCGCGGGCCTACACCTCATCCGACTTGACCGAAAACTGCACCCCCTGCGCCAGAAACAGACTTTTGACATTCTCAAAGTGAAACTCGAGTGGCACCGCGCCCTCGAGCACCCACGTCCACGGGATCTTGCACAGCAGCACCACCTTCTGCAGCTTCTGCAGCCGCATGCGCACGTCGCGCGCAAACTGCATGAGCGTGCGCAGCGCGCTGACGCGGTAGTGGTGCTGCGCCTGGTAGTGGCGGACCTTGCGCGCGGCGTCCCACTCCGGCATCTCGTCGACCAGCTCCACGTTGGACCACCACCAGTCCTCGAGCGCCAGCTCGACGAGGTTGGGCGGGAGGAGGTCGACGAGTGGCGTCTCGAGCACGGCCGAGGGTTTTCCGTACAGCAGGGCCATTTGCACGCAGAGGGTGCGCAGAGAGGTCATTTGCGCGAGCGAAGTGAGTCGCCCTTCGGGACCGACGAGGCTCTCAAAGCCCGTGATGTCCTCCCAGCTGACGTCGAGGTTGCGCAGGTGCTTGGCGTGGTTGGCGAGAGCGATGTCGAGGGCTTCGGGGTGCGCATTGTGGCTGTTACTGTCGTCGATGGCTTCGTGCGGGAACTCGCCACGGGGGGCCATGTAGAGTGTCTCGAGCTGCGGCGCGTTCAGCAGGAGGTGGTGCAGGTCGCCCGGGTAGGCGACGCTGTTGTGGAGGTAGATGTGGCGAATTCCTTGCAGGAATGGTGGCGGGGGGTCGCTGGCGTTGTTCGGGTTGAGCATGAAGAGGGGTGGCTCGTCGAGCTCGGTGGTCCAGACACCGTCATCGCTGCTGACTTCGAGCGTGGTGAGCTTGGGGAAGCTGGCGAAGAGCGAGGCGTATCGCCGCGGCTGGGCCCCCCAGACCTCGGGGATCTCGCACTCGCAGTCCTCATCCTCAATTTGCGCAAGCAGTTCTGGGTCGCCCTGCAGGAGTAAAGTGTGAATGTTTTGGAAGGGGGTGGCTTGAGGTTCATCACGGAAGAGGTTCATGACTCCTTCGATCTGGAAGCATAACGCGTCATATTCAGGTTGGTCATCGCTGACGGGCACCTGCAACAGGACGGTCTCAACCTTGATCAGAAACATCAGAATGAAGCAAACCAGTCCTTGTGGTACAGCGTCAAAATCGCCCTCGCTCAGGACCATCTGTGGGAGATGACACCGTAGCATGAGAAGGAAGTGCTGCGCAACATGTTAGCCACACGATGCTTGTCAAACCCAGCACCATCTTTGGAGTACTATGGGCCAGAGCACTTACGTGAACAGCGTGGATAAGCACGCCGTCCCCCTGGGCCACCTCGAAAGTATCGAGGTAACTTGGAAGAAGTTCGCGGATTTCCCGGATGACAGCGAGGTCTGACAGGGTAATGTGGCAGGATAGATAGCGCGTCCAGAGGCCGTAGTCAGGCTTGCGGCAAAGGGTGCGGAAAAACAGGAGCAGTGCCTTCTCGTCCCATATCGCTACGCGGCGGTAGAGTAATGGCCTCGCCGTCTCGGAGAGGCGGCGAGAGACGCGGCACAGGCTGTGAAGACCGCGCCGACATCGCGTGAAGTCGAACCAGGGCTCATCAACCATTAGCTGCTTGTAGGCGACAGGGCGCGTCTCGCCAATCTCTGGCGGCTGCGGTAGCAAGTGGTCCAGGATCAGCGCAATGATCTCGGGTGGCATGGTCTCGAGCCCCAGCGCATGTGTGCGATATCGATCCTCGCCAGCCATGGCGGCGACGTCGGCGGCCTCGTTGGGGTGGCTCGGACTCGGCCTTTGTTGGACGCTCCTTCCGAATAACGCCCTTGCCTGAAAAGGTCCCTTCAACACCCCTACAGGACGGGTGCAAGGCAAGTAGAATCGGGTACGACCGTGGCCAGAAGTCAGGTGAAGTTTGAGCGAAGAGGTGACCGTCAAGAAAAGCAGAACCCCACTGTGGCACCGTCCCGTCCTGCTGCCCCACCATGCAGGTTCCAACGGGGCAGCGTGGGAGTGGAGCGGTAAGTCATGGCGGCTTCGGTTGTTGCTCGAAGCTCGCAACCCTAACCCAGCAACCTCGCTCATTAACTCGGAGGATGATGGGCAGCCTGAACATGTAATGGGGAGGCGATTGGGAATGGGAATGATGGAACAAGAACTAATGTGAGTTAAGAACGATGCGGCCAAAAGGAGAAATAGATGGTGCTGGCTGCAGAGCGTTCAGTTGAGGTTGGAATATCCCTCTTGCCGTTTGTTTATGACTGGTTAGACTGGCTCTTTTCTCATGTAAGTTGCCCGAGATTCAGAACTTGGAAGTTGCCTCGCTCCCATCAGTTAGTCCCTGAATTCTTTTCTTATTCTTCTCGTCACATTTTTATCATAACTACAAAGGCTCCGCGGGCCACAAATCCCTTGGACTTAGTCTCGAAGCCAGCATCGAGATTATCGACCTTTACATCCCCCCAGTTTTGCCGACGAAGACGATGACGGGACTGTGAGGTCCCAGACGACTCTACAGCACCTCCCCGCTCACTAATCGCTGCTCTGTCCTCAACGGCCATGGAAAATTTCAGGAGAGCCTCCCCTGCTATCGATTGTAAGCGCTTTATACCTGTAAACCATTGTCCTGTCCCTGCAACTCAAGTATTAACACGTCTTCTCCCTTTCACCACTTGTTTACGCCCTTAACATCCCTTTTATTATACTACTTGATCTGTTGCCTTACCTATGTTCTTCTTCATTCTCTTGTTCTGTCCTCTCTCACCCAGGCTTCTTATCGTTCTGTTTAGAATCCTTCAACTCCGTTATTTCTGGTCCTTTTTCCTCGCTTCATTCCCTTGCATTTGCAGATTCGTGAAGGAACCAGGGCTGTCGAGTAATATTCCGAGATGTGCCTTGAAAGGACGGGTTGAGCGTCGCATTGAAATGCTGAGTAAGAACTGCAAGTGTACGGTCCTGCCGCATGCAAAGATGGTCGTCGACATTCGATTGGGCGCGAAGCGTCGGCAATCAAACCTCATTTTTCCCCTCTGACTCAATTTCCCAAAGCTACGCGCCGTGGGACATATCCGTGACCGTAGAGACGTATCATCACCAGCCAGTCAGCCCTCTCAAGCCTCCCGAGTCGCTTCCTAACTTCCGTTGGTGATCGTTCAAACCCCATTTCCGAAACCAGCCGTTGTCCTTTGCCGACCGATTACCGGTGATGATCGATCTCACCACCTTTCATTAATTAGGTGCACCCGATTTCACCCTCACGCATCACAGAAAAAGAACATCAACCACGTCAAAGACATGAAACCGAAACTTCTCTTCCTTCACGGCTCAGGCACCAACGCCTCAATCTTCCGCATCCGTATGTCAAACCCATCCTGCGCTCATATTCTGATTACCTGTAATCCAGTCGTTCAGGCCGCACTTCCTCGGCTCCCACAATGCCACAATCGCACCTTGCACAAATTTCAACCGGCGGAGAAACAACATCTCCATCAAGCCCTTTATCATAAGCGGTCTTCAAACACAATCCTGAACTAACCGCACATGAACCGATGTGCTCAGAATCCCGCAAACTAGCCCACCTCCTCAAACCACACTTCGACCTGCTCTATTTCGACGCCCCAATTCCATGCGACCCAGGACCGGGCGTCCTGCCCTTCTTTGAAGGCTGCGGACCATACCTGACATGGATGGATGACGTGTCCGGGCCCAGGGCCGAGGAAGCCTACTACGAAGGCGACGCCATCCGCGACCTGGCAAGAGAGGTTGAACAGATGAGGGTTGTCGGCATTGTCGGGTTTTCGATGGGGGCCAAGGTGGCTATGGGGGTTGTGCGTCTGTTGGAGGCTGAGGGAGGGGCGAACATCAGGGTTGTCGCGGCTGTTTGCGGTACTGTGCCGTTTCAGGGTGGGTATATCAGGGGCCTGCTGGATGAGGCTAGGGAGAAGGCGTATCAGGGGAGTTTGGTGAAAGGGGTTGTGCAGGCTGAGAGTGTTCACCTGATTGGGGATGGGGATCCATGGCGGGTCCAGAGCGAGAAGCTGGTTGGGTTTTTTGCGGAGGAGGGGAGGCGAGTGATCCGGTTCGAGGGCGAGCATCACATGCCGGCTGATGACGCGGTGAATCGGGAGGTGGCAATGTTGATTTTGGCGGCTGTCGATGAGATGTGAGCGAGGACGAAGAGAGAGCTGATCGACTTGCGTTGTTCACTTGATAATAGGCACGCTACCTGGGCATATGGGGCGTACTACTGTGACTGTTTGACAATATCATGTTGGTTTCAGCATGCTCTGACTCTCAATCTGTTATTGACAACGTGCTCTCCTATGATATCTAGCGGGGCCATGCTTCCTTTACCGCAGAGACGGCGTATCATGGTTCTTCATCTGCCTCGTGCACTTCTGTACTCTCTGCATAGCTTTGTGCCCTCAAGCCTCGGCCGTGTCCCACAAATCGTGCACTTCTCCCCAGGCAACTTCGGAGATAACGTCTGCAGAGTGCACAGTACTTGTAATTGGCATTGGCCACCGGTCCTGAGCAAAGGGAGCACTCAGGGCCGGGCAGCACGGAGCCAGTTCGCAGGTCGACACGACTCAGTTTCCAGTGCCGTTGATAACCCTTCCGGAGGCTTTTGTCTTTCCTCACGTAGGGATAACAGATGAGGGTTTGACCTTTTTGAAATACTCTCGCTCTGAGTAGATTGCAAGAAGTGCAGCACAGCTTGCTCTGACAGGCATCACAGCGCTCCCCTGCCCTCGCAACACGCGATGGGTCATAGCGGCAGCACCGGCAGATGAGGTAGTGGTCACAAATGACTGACCGTTCCACAACGCTGAAGTGACGGGATAGTAGGTAGCGCATGATCATAATCTCCACCTTGTCTTCCGCAAGATCTGACAACGTTCCAGGGAAGCATTTTGTTCATGCTTTCACCGCCATCTCATTGCAGCAGGTTCTACAGTAAGGTCTGCCGTCTTTCCATGAGTCCACCTTGATGCCGTCGAGGTTGGGTTTGACTTTGACCGTCCACGGCTGCGAGTCTACCGGACCGCGAATCGAACACTCAAACGTGACGACGTTCTTGCCATGTCCATGACTCGTGTGATGCTCGTCTTCTTGATCCATTGCTGCCGAGTCACCCTCAAGGCTTGAGTCTTCGACGTCTTCTTCGGCCTCATAATCTTCAATCTGAAGTACTTCGCACAAATTCTCATAGTCTGCTTCGAGATCAACCTCTCTCTCTTGCTCCTCTTCGAGTTCGAGCTTTTCCCACTCGATCTCAGATTCCCGTTCAACCTCTGCTTCTCCGTCCCACTTTCCCATCTCTGGTTTGCACTCCGTCCCGTCCGACTGAAAACCTGGGAACTGTGTACGATCCATCGTGAGCTCCTCAACCGGAGCAGCGAAAGTCGCTGTCGGAGAAGCAGGTTCTTCAGGTGGATTCGGCTCACCAGTATGATCAATAATTTTTGGTTGTTCCCTGGGAAGCTTTCGGTTGCGACGCAAAGGTGTGTGCGCATTGCGACTGCGAGGCTAAGGTACCTTATCAAAGGTTATTATGTCGATTACCGAGCCTCGAGTTCTTCAAAGGCCTGAGCAGCAACTTGGCCATCACCGTAAGGTACCTTATCTTACCTTTAAGTAAAAGAGGCTTTGCTCCCTGTTGCACAAGAGACGTACGATGCTGTCTATGAACAGCAAATTGCACAGGGCCAAATCTTGCAAGACACCGTCTTGCAATATCTGCTTCTGTCGCATTGGGTGTCTCTCCCAGGCTGTTCCAGAACACGACGAAACATACAACATCTGCAGGACCCCAGGTACAATCCAAGGCCCACGCTTATACAATGACATTGTCCATTGAACATTGCCGGATAGCAGTGGCTACAAACCCAAACCTTACAACCATGTTCCATTTCTTTGTCTGCCTCGATGGAAGTAAATGCGATTGTCTAATTACACAAAGTCCTGACTCTTATGGACAACGCTTCGGGTGCGTTCAGATCAACCACCCTTGTTCATATACTTTACCTATTCCTGCAACATAGAAATGCCTCACCTCCCACCCTTCTCACACAGACACAACACGACGGTTCGCGCCCAGCCATGCGGGTTGACCATCAGGTCGAGAGGGCGTCCGAACCGAGTGTCAACCTCTTGGCAGTTTTGGATACGAGCCCAAGGACTGTGTGGTATTGTTCCAAAGATTGTCTACCCCGCAAGCGGGACAGACGTTCCGATATCTGGGACAGGTATTCCCCATCTTGGCACGAAAGGTGGCATAGGCGAGGATGAAGTATCTAACCAGCCAAACACCACGCTCACCGAAATTCGTATTGGACACGCTGCATAGAGCTAACCTCGAAAACAGCTGCGGGTGGCGCATGAAGCCTGAGGGAGGTACATCCCCGGAAAGGTCCTTGTATCACCTAAGTTGGTTGGGTAAGGTACCTCAGCTAATAGGTGCTACTGCCAAAGCTCTGTCTGGCTAATATCACAGCGCTGCAGCTTAGTTCGGAGCTGATGAGGAGCCGAATCGGAACAATATATGTCTCGGAATTTAGAACTCTCCAGTGCCACGACAACTCACTCAACAATTCTTCTGTTATCCAACCCGGGCGACACCCACACAGCAAGGACGATGCTTCTCCGCCAGACCATCCCTCTTCTGCTGGCCGCCAGGCAAGTTCACCCCCTTTCCCCTCATACCCCCAATCACTGAAGCAGTCATTGACCTTATCCCAACAGTGCCGCGGCAACGAAGCCCAAAGCCTGCAACCCCCCGTCCTTCACCACAGTCACCACCACCGTTCCGCCATCTTCTTCCAGCTCAACCTTCAGTGCCATGATAACGAGCTACCCCAAATCATGCACCTACCGCCCAACCCAGACTTTTTACTCCTCGAGCGGTTGTGCGCACACCTGTGCTACAGGTTTCTGTGTGATTGACGGTCTGTATCTTCCCAAGTCCCGGCTTCCCTGCGCTCTCCTCCTTCCCACGTTTTATTCAATTCCATCCTTCCACCATCCCGCTATCTTCCAAAGCCCTTCCTCGACCATCCCACCATCCTCAGAAAATACCAGAACTCGCACTTCACCTAAAGACAGCCGAGCCGAGAAGGGACAGACACTAACGTGCTGACGCAGCCCCCGCGACCATCTCGTGCGGCTGCCCCACCGTCTGGATTGACACGCAGACCGTGACCGTCTGCCCGACCGCGACACCCTGCCGGCAGTGCTACACGGGCTGGGGCACGTTCCTGGTCACCGAGTCCTGCGCCGCGACTGCTACGGCTTCTTAGGGTAGGGAGCGCGAGGCTCACTGATGGCTGATCTGGGTTGGGTTTCGGAGTGCTGATGTTTTCGATTTAGTAGGGAGGTTGGAGAAGGTGGTATGGGAACTTTCGTTGGGGCAGGTGGATGTCGGTCTCAGAGTGAGCTGTTGCTATCAGCGGTGTTAAGGGTACCTGCGTGTGGGCCTCGAAGCATATTCGCATCATCAAAGGAACTGCAGGTGCCGTACATTATTGCTGTAGGGTGGTCAACTCGGATACCGTAGTGTAGATTTCGGCTTCTCGGATGTTGGTCCGTCCTCGCTCATCGGGAGAACTGGCCTATGCGTAGGTCGGCTGTTAAACAGATACGTGGCAGCGATGACGGTGGCAGCACCGACGGTGGCCTGGGATGTTTTAAGTCAGCACCCGTTCCAGTACCACGCTGACAGCAAGTTGGAACCTACATGGAGCGGCATCGTTGTCCGGAAAATAAGCGCCGTCGCCGCATAGCTCACGACGATGCTCAGGCTCGCGGCAAAGTTCTTGGCCACGTTATCCGCATAGGCAATGCACACAGCCACGATGAGCCCTCCCAGGGCCTGAAGCACGATGGTGAGCCAGACTACCGGGTTGTATCCTGCGAAGAAGCCGTCACGAGCAATGGAGCTGCCGTCTTGCCAGAGCACGCCGATGAAGAGCGCCGGAAAGAGACTGAACAAGGAGAGCTGCACGTTGCGGGTCCACAGGGACACGGATGCCATCGAGAGCTTAACGAGCTTCTCAAAGTAGACGCAGGTTAGGCCCGAGGTGAGCGAGGCGCCGACCACGGCCATGAGGCCCTTGGAAGCGTTGGAAGTGGGCATGGACCCGCCGCGGATGACAGATGCCAGCTGCTCTAGCCAATTCTCAGAGATAATAGCCCGATCCGAGACTTGGACGAGGGCAACGCCAAGGGTGAGCAGAACAAGGGAGAGCCATTGCCGCAGAGAGATGGACCTGTGTAGCAAGAGGATGCTGAAGAGGACGGTGGTGAGAATCTTGAGTTGGTAAGTGACCTGGAACGTGACGGTGTCGAGGTTGCTGATGGCTGTGTACACCAGCGAGTTTTGCAGCGTGTAGAGGGCTGCCGGCACGATGAGCTTCCAACTGTCTGGCGAGAAGATGGAGTGGCAGAGGTGGAGTGTTATCGTGGATGTTGGAGCATCTGGATGCGACGTGAAGGTGTCATGAGCGGCAAGCATGAGACTTGCTAGCAATTTGATGACTTCTACCAACATGACGGCGGTCGAGGCTTGGTATCGGGGCTGGCCTCCTGTTGGGTTGTTGCGGGAATAATGCATGACCTGGCATTGTCATCTTCAGCCTTGTTGACCTTCCACCTGGAACAAGGGGGTTAAGGAGACTGCACCATCACAAGTACTGAGTTCTGAACGACCAACTGCGACGCCGTGTTAGCTGGGTGAGCACCTCTGGACCCCAAAAAGGATCACGCATAGACTGACCAAGGCCAAGGACAAGCGTTGGACCGAAAGCTGCCACCGCCATGGACGGCCGGACGCCTGCGAGAGGCGCATTGCAGTCCCGAGTATGCTTGTGTATTGGTGTGAACAGCGCCGGGCCGAAAGTATTCCTAGTATGTCATGAAACATGAAAATCGCTGAAGCAAAGGCTTGTTCCAGGCGTCTTTACTGGCTCAATATTTTCAGCTCGGGCATCGGACCTTTCAGCGTGGCCGAGAGCAGCATCGGGAAGGCGCCGGGATTTGAGCGGTGGAATCCTCTGACGACCATCTTGTTCCACGTCGAGGAACAGGGGTCATCAAACGACAAGAAGGGATGATTTGATCAAAAAAGCAGGGCATATGGTATCTGTAATCCAGTTAAAACCGGTTGTCTTCAGGTGCGGATGACACAACTTGGCTTACAAAGAATCGGCCTAAAATCCGGACGAGAAAGGGACGTTTGTGAATGACGCTAAAGTGTTCGCGCCGCAGACTTTCCCAGGGCAGCCTTTTCTTTTCTTAGTGAGTTCTGAATGTACACAGTGCCAAGCCGACTTTTCCACCCTGTTTGGTCTTCGAGGGTGGCCCAACCCCTCCAGCATGACAGACAGCACTTAAGACGGCGCATCCTCCTCGGAGACTGTCATGGTTAAGGGTCCGGACTCCGGCCACAGTCGGTTCCCGCGCCGACACAAAGATTTGGACAATTAACACCGGCCGAGATGCTGCACTTCGCCGCCAAGCCCTCGACGCTCTCGGTCCGGATGCTTGGCCGAGTCCCGCGTCGTGCCTGGCGCTGGCTTCTCCGCGTTGCCCTCGTCGCCATTCTGGTCCCTGTCTTGCTGCAGTGGGTGATCGCATACCTTGTCGGCAGCGATGCCAGAATACTTCCTCCAGAGCTCCTCGCCACGAAGAACCTGTTGATTGTGACAGCGCATCCCGACGACGAGTGTCTTTTTTTCTCGCCCACCATCTTGGGTCTGCTGGACAGGAACAGAGACACCGTGGGAGGGCTATTGGTCATGTCCACCGGTAAGATGGCGCCATGCTAAGCACCGAATCAGTTACGCACTACTGACCTGGGAAATGGCGACCACAACAAGGCAACAACTACGGCCTCGGCGAAACGCGCATCCGGGAGCTTCAGGCCTCTTGCAAGGCATTGGGCATTCATGCCAAACGATGCGTCGCGCTGAACCACCCGGAGCTGCAGGACAACCCCAAGGTCTGGTGGAATGCCGACCTCATCCAAGCGGTGGTGCATGAGAAAGTGGTCGAGTGGAAGATCGATGCGGTGCGTCACTTTTTCGCCGTCCCCACCTCACCCAATGAGCTCCGCTTCTGGGCCCCTTGCTAGACCCTGAAGCTGACTACGTGTACATCGCTTGCAGATCGTGACTTTCGATGAGGGTGGAGTGTCAGGCCATCTGAACCACAGGGCCGTCAGCGCTGCAATCAGGTAATAAGCAACCAAGTGCAATTACCACCGATGGGCCGGCGGAACTCCTTGTTGACAGCATTTCTTAGCCAGTATGCCGCAACGAACCCTGACGCGCCCGTCATATTTACCCTGACGACGGCGTCTCTGCTGCGCAAATACACGTTTCTTGGAGATCTGCCTCTCACCGCGCTGCCCTTCACGTGGCGCATCCTCAACGCGCTCTCCTACCCCGCGACGACCGCAGACCCCAAGGACGGCGACCGAGTCCTCGTGGCCAACACGTGGGTCCGCTACCTCAAAACCCGCCATGCGTTTGCCCAGCACCCAAGCCAGTATACTTGGGATCGTCATTTGTATATGGTGGTGAGCCGCTACGTTTGGTTCAACGACCTGAAGCGGGTGGAACGTGCTGCAGAGTCGGGGTCACAGCCACAGCCTTAAATGACCATACGTCGACATCATTTCGGAGTCCCGTAATCCGTACATGTGCGACAGCTGCGTTGTGAGCCCTGCTTGATGACGCTGCACGGGATCTTCGGGCTGCAATCGGATACCTTCGCGAGCAATGGATTGCGAATGGTCTGCTCGCATCGGACCAGATTTGTCACGCGACCCTTGTCACTCCAACGCACAAGCTTTTCAGTTCCCCCCTGGTCTGGACCACGGCAACCGTCTTGGCATCCGCTGGGCTGGATCGTCCATAGCAGTCGCCCAATCGCCTCCCCCCGGGCGCCTCCAGCGCGCCAATCTTACACAGTATACGACACACGGTGGTACTTATCAAGCCAACACCGTCATCTTCGCGACACGAAGAACACAGACTGGTGTGATCTCTGAGGGTCCACAATCTCTCCGAAGCCCAATATCTCCCTAAGTATGTCTTCCGTCAACCCATATGCAGCCGTTGAAAACGGCTTGTTTCTCAATCTTGCCTCTTCCACTACACCACACTTCTTTATTTTTGCAAAACGGGCATGGGGATAATAACGGCTCCGAGGCGTGCCCGAAAAACGCACCCTGGCTTCACCGCCGCTTGTGTTGTCCTGCTGCTCGTTAGCCTCTGGCTTGCTCACAGTGTTCTCTACGACGCGTGGACGCTTGCCGCAATCCCATTACTATGGACGCGCCACGCCGAGCGCTTCTACATCTCCGCGCATCATGACGACTTTGACGTGACCTTTGCGAACTACAGCATACACCAAACCAGCGCCGCCCCGTTTGGCGACCAAGTTCCCCCCGTCCTCCATCACATCTCCCTCGGCTCCGGCGCCGCCACGCATTCGAAATGGACCGAAGTGCGGCAAACTTGCTTGGATCTGCACCCAGACTGGGAGGCTTTCCTCTGGACAGATGAGACCGCCGATGCCCTCGTCGCCGAGCATTTTCCTGAATTGCGAGAGATGTGGACAACATACCGCTACCCTATCCAGAAAATCGATGCGCTGAGGTACATGGTGCTGTACCATTACGGAGGTAATCAGGCCACATCCGCCTATTTCCTTCATACGATCCGTCAGCTGATTTGAGGCTTTCACAGGCGTCGTCCTGGACATGGACTTGCAATGCAAGCGCGCCTTTGGACCCCTGCGGCGGTTTGGATTTGTCGCACCAGCCGCCCATCCCACCGGCTTCTCGATCGGCTTCATGATGGCGAGCAAGGGCAACGCTTTTGTGGGCAAGCTGGTGGAGAACCTTCGACGGTACAACAGGCATTGGCTGGGCCTGCCTTATCCGACGGTCATGTTCAGTACGGGATGCCACTATGCATCGTAAGTATTATCCGGGGAACGATGCGACTCCAGATTCGTTACTGACCAACTTTTTAAGCACGATCCACGCCTTCCAACAAAACCGTGCCGAACTCAAAATCCTGGCCGGCCCAAGCGGAAACCCCAGGCTGCATAGCCTGAATGGCCCGGTCTCGACGCCGCTCTTCAACCACCTCGGCAGCTCCTCGTGGCACTCCTATGACGCCGCGATGATCGTCTCACTGGGCAAGCGACACGATGCGAAGCTGCCGCTGTTGCTGATCGGCGCCGTTGCCGTGATGTTCTTCGCCATGAAGCGGATGAGGAGGCGACGGATGCTGAAGGTGTAGCATGTGGTTGCTGCATGTTTTGTGACAATACCTTATACTTTATATGTGAAGTGGCTAGGGAATGGGCTATTAGAGGGGCGGGCGTAATGGCGTTTTACAGATACTCGAACTGCAGTTCCGCTGGAGCTGATACCCTCGCGGCATGGCTGTTACCAGTACGAGGAGCATGACACCGAGGCATTGATTATGCGGCACCGGGATTCGGAGCAGAGAGTTGCTAGCGGGACGAGCTGAATATCTAATGGCATTAACGAACCTCGCACATCCTCCGAAGCTGTTCTTGTCAATTCAGACCTTCTCCCTGAGCTTCACTGAAGAAATCCAGCAGCACCCTTGATATCGTCACGCACGCCGAGTTTCTCGGCATCTCCGAGGAACTATGAATAGCCGAACTCAGCCTAGCTCGTCGACACTAGCATCAACGAGCCCAGCGCGCGCTTACCACTTGCGGCCAGCCTTACAAATCCAATCACCTGGTCACCCTCGGATGATCCGGCTGTGACCCAACTAAGCGAACCTGCATGTCAGACCCTAAAGATCCAGTCCCCGAGCCCAGACCAAGAAGGAATGGGTCCCCGCTTTCGCTAGCGATCCTCGGCGATGCCCTAATGCAGAGCAAGGACTTGGCCGAAGCTTATCCCGATTCTCTTGGCCCTTTGCCTCGCCGACATGCCCGCAGTAAAGTTTCCAGTTCGGTCAGGGGGGAACTGTTCTTGATGAATCAACCCATGATGAGGATGTAAGGTAGGCAAGCGCGGGCTCTCCCTTTACTTCTCCAATACTACTACTAACGACTGCATCATCCAAAACAAGCCAACGACTAAACCATGGCCATCACACAAAGCGAGCGCCTCCTCTCGACTACCTTTACTTGTCACCCGGGTCGATGGGAGCCGGGAACCTGACCTTGGCATACTGCTTCGAAGGCGGCGCCAGTGACCTGCTGGAAGATGTGCTCGAGCTGGGGCCTGGCAGCCAGCCACCTGTTGACGTTGAGGTTGGTGTCGACGACGACGTAGCACATGTTGAAGGTGTCCTATGATTGGCCTTGTTGGTGGCCCACTTCCAGGTGTTGCCGTCGATGTGCATGTAGACAACGCGGGTGCGCGGCTGGTAGACCCAGATGGGACGCTCGGCCGACCCTATGATGTTCACGGCGATGGTCTGGTGGACGCGGATGGTCTCGGCTACCGAGTTGTCGGTGCACTCGGTGCTGAAGCCTGAAGCTGACGTCGCTCAGGAACTTGAAGAAGTCGGTCAGGATCGCGTCTAGCTGCCTGGTGGCGGCATCGGTCAGGCTGAAGCCCTTGAAGAGCTCCGAGAGGAAGGCCAGGTGCAGCTCCGTCTTGGTCATGCTCCGCGAGAAGGGGTGCTGCGTGCCGCTGCCGTGGCTGTACATGCCTGCCAGCGGCGGGCCTTGCGCACATGATCCTTGTCCGTTTGGGGGCTGTCGTCGCTCTTCTCGGGCAGGATGGCCACGTCCTGGGACATGGGCACCCGCCCCTTCTCAACCTCAGCCGCGGGGCCTTCGGCGGCTGTGGCCATCCGGTTCCACAACTCCGAGAGGCTGTCCTGTGAAATGCCGCTGCTACCGGTCCCAGCAGCAGCCGTGACGCGGCTGTCAGACGCCGCCGCGAGCTCACGCGCTACTGAAGCGGTGTGCCAAGGGTCGCTGGTGCGGGTTATGAGATCAACAGGGGCTGGAAATTGCCAAAGTCTGGGGCGGTACGGAAGGCCATGACGGGCGGTGGAAGTGTTGATCCGAGGTCAATATTAGTAGTATTGACTGGAAGGTGTGGACAAAGGTGGTGAAAGCAGATTGGGAACTGGTTACGAGTTTGTGCGGTCGATATTCAGAAGGCAACCATGTGTTCAATCAACATGGCAAAGCGGTGTAGGCGACGGTCATTCTTGTGTCTTTTTCTTAGGCCAGGACGGCAACTGTATCAGGTATGATACAATCTGGCTGGCGGGTTCCCCGTCTGCTTCTTCTTTCTTTGTTATTCTGTCAACTCCCTAACGGACAATGACCTCGTTTTCTTGAGCCAAAACTTGATTTCGATCAGGATCGACAAAGACTCTCTGCAACCAGTATGTAAGCCACTTGAGTGCAGGTGGCGTTGGCCTTCGGTTGTCCTTGCTCTGTCATCGGTTTTGTCCTTGCTCGGACCATCGGTCCACGAGGAGCCCAACTTTTCAGTCTCAGCGTCGAGTTTGAACGAGCAGATCAGTTCGCCCACATAATGCTTTCATGTCTTCCACCTTGGTAAACATGCATACACGTCCATGTGAATGGACTGGACTGTCCAAGCCGACAACCTCACGATTCCCGGTTTTCCATCCTAGGAACCAGGGAGCAAGATACCCCTATCCCCAATCAGGTCAGGAGCAGCAAGGAAAGCCAGCTGAAGTCTAGTCTCTGTAGGGTCGACCTGTCCAAGTGGCACGCTGGAAGAGAATGGGGAAGTCCTGGTATTCCGCGTTTAGTTTCGTCTTACACAACATGAATCCTGAAGTAACGGTGAGGTCCAAGACACGGCCATGACCGACATGGTCCGGTGGAGTGTGCGGCTGAATGCCGATGCTTTGATGGAGGGGAAGACGGACTTTGCCGATCAGTATCCGGACTGATGACCGCGCAAAAAGAAAAAAAAATTTCTTTGGATAACGTAACTAGTTATCTTTTGGATCATGGATAATTTCCCGTTGAATACTTTCCTTCTGGATATTAGCGGCATCAAATATCAACAGCACGGATATTGGAGAGCCACCGTAGATGGTGCTGCTGCTGCACTAAGCATTTTCAAGACGGAAAAAGGGGACATGAAGCGTGGAAGGCCAATTACTAAAGATTCCGCATTCTCCATATTGTTCAAGGATAGGCACAGAGCCGTCATCGGAAAGGACTCGCGGAGTTAATGAGAGTCCATGGCTGATTTCAACGCGGCATAATCAAGGGATGATGACGGTGCTTCGGTCACAGCAGTGAGGTGTCTGGTCTTGTGGGGTCGTGGTGAACTGGACAACTGGCCATCTCCATGGTTCGATCTTTTGATCCGCCTGTTGTTTGTGCAACTATATGATGACCGTTTACATTGACAGCCGTCACATACGACCATACCTGGTAGAAAGCTCGGGATCCCGTCCGCTCTCCCTTAGATAAGCTACCAAGGGCCGGATCAGTAGTTGGGTCGGTGACGACCAGCGAATCCCCGGTGTTGTATGTTTTTGGGCTTTCTATCTTCATTTTGGCTCCATCGACAATCTTGGGTGCCTGATATCATTTTCCATGATCCATATTATTCATAGCTATCGATTACTATGCTGGTGAGAGCCATGTGTCTAGTGAGTCTGTGAGAATCTATCCCTCGCATGTCATCGAAGACCACGTCATAAATCATGATTAACTATCCCATAACTTATCAAACTCCACAAACCATGCAAATCTGCCGCATCTCGTTCATCAGCATCAGATCGACGTATGCAGCAGGAAGTCATCGTCATCGCTGTCCTCATCGCTTGAGTCGCTGTCGCTACCATCGTCACAGTCGTCGTCACCACTGGCGCTCCCCTCTTCATCGCTGATATCCTTCATTCTGGTCAACTCGAGAACCTGGCGATCAATATCACCATTCTTGGAAAGCAGCTCGCCAATCTCGTGAATCTTTGGCCGTGCAGCTCCATCTCCAATGGCAGCTGCGATGGTCTCCCGCTTTGTGTCCTGCATCGTCAGGATGGCTTCGTCCATGGACTTCGTGACAATGAGCTCCACCGTGTGTACCTGCTTAGTCTGGCCAATGCGGCGGACGCGTCCAGAAGCCTGGGGCTCCAAACCCTCGTGCCACGAGTGGTCATAGACAATGGCCCGGTTCGCGGCGGTCAGATTCAATGCATTGGAGCCACATGTGACCGATATCAGCTGGGCGAGCGTCAGCAAAGAGCCACTCGGTGGCGGATTGGAGGACGAACCATGATCTTGATATCGGAACTCTTTTGGGAGGCCTTGATGCACATGTCTTCGTGCTCCTGCGTCCTATCCCCGCAGAGTTAGACGAACTTGAACCCGCTCTGAAAAGCATCCACACGAGAATGGAGAGAACCGGGATTCACTAAACGAAAACTGGTAGCATGGTCAGCATCTGTTGAAAGGGGGAGCTGGGAAAACGGCGCCCTACCGCCTATAGAACGCTTGAGGCCGAGGCGGAAAACGAGCAGCAGGTACCACGGAGGAAGCATACCTTAGACAGGGGCAACAACAAACACGCCAATGCTAAGAATGCCTAGGTCATGCCTCGAGTGTCTGGTAATTCGTGCAAGTGCTCCGCCCCAGAGCGGCCAGTCCTCCGTTCTCCGCGATGGGGCCCAGTTCCCCGTCGCCTTCTGCCATGTCCCTGAAGATGTCTTCATAAACCTGTCCCTGTTGGCATAATAATGACTGGCGACATTTAACTCAAGCTCCATGGTGGTCGTGTTGAGGTTGAACTTGATGCGCTCGTCCGGTTCGGGCTTGGATTTTCTTAGAAGCCAGCCAGTCTATAGAAAGGCTCCAACCGCCGATGCTGCCCCTGGTGTTACCGCCTTGTCCGCCGCGGAGGAGGAGGACGCCGGCTTCCGCAAAGACGAAGCCCAGTGCTGCGGCTCGACCGAGAACATGACGATGCGAGTGTACGACTTGAAGAGGTAGATGCCGCCGCCACCACCACCGGTGATGTCGATGAATTTGAGATGATAGATCACCACGCCCCGCTTGAGCTCGGGCAGCGGCTGCTGCAAATTGCCGTGCTCGTCGTCCGCGTCGTTCCCGCTGTCGGTGCGGTTGGTGCTCTTGAAAGGCTCGAGCGCGGTCGTGAAGCGGGTGAGCACCTTGTCGAGCTCCGCCAGGCGCATCTTCCCAACCCGGTCCAGACCGCTGAGGATGCGAGCGAGGACCATGGCGTAGAGTTCGGCTCGAGAAACCTCCAGGTCCAGGCCGCCGGTCCCGCATCCTCCCTCGCACTCAGTGTACATGGACGCCAGTGGGCCGTCGGTAATGGCATGGATGGTTGCCTCCGTCTTCTCGTTGAAGGCTGCCACGTCCTCGCTGAGATTTTTGAAGTTGTAGTGGCGGTTGGTGCTGGTTCCGTCTCCGTCACCCTCTCCTTCGCCGCCGCCGCTGTAATCAGGCCTCAACCGGACGAGGTCCATGCTCGCAAAGATGCGTGCCAAAGCCGACGCACCTGGCAGGGCAGTGAACATGTGTCCCTGCTCCGGGTCTCACCCCAAAGGTTCGAAGGCGAAGAAGTAGGGCGGAGGGGCAGTCTCTTGCTTGATTACGGCTGTGGGCTGGGCTATGGCGACGCGCAAATGTTGCTTCAGGTCGGCCATGTCGTCCAATGCTTCCTTGTCTTGCAGCATCAGGACCCGAGGAGAGATCAGCTGAGGTGCTCATGTTTGGCGGGTTTCCCTTGGTAAGCGATGGCTTTGCTGAAGGGTTGGCAGTGTGTGATGCCGAGGTCGCAAGATGGCAAGGAGGGTGCGACACAAAAGAGCATGAGAAAGAAGAGTGAAAAACAAGGGGAGGAAGCTAGAGGGAGGCCGCACGCAGGGTAATGTCCCCGCAATGCTTTCTTCCAGACAGAATTCCCGTCCTTGTCAAATTGATAAGGAGAATCATGCTGGCGTGCGTTCCGTAATCGTTTGTGTCAACCATTGGTGGAGGACTGTGTTCATCTCTATTACAAATGGACAATGACATGTGGGATTGCTCGGGTTTGCTATCACCCTTGCTGCTCTGTTTCAATTAAGGCAGCACCCCCTGCGTGCTGCGTTGGGGTTTTCAGCCTCGATCTGCTTTGGGAGCCCGTATTCCTTGGAGGAGAATGCGGAAATAAGGTAGTAAGGTACTCTGAATTGGTCCGAGTCGGGCCTTTGAAACGGCCACTCTAAATTCCAAACCAGCGGCATGCTGGCTTAGTTAGCGTTACAGTACCTAGTACTGTACCTCAGTTTCTGGTCGTTGACGGGCAGGAGTGGCCTATTCGAAGCCCGACGAGCACCGCTGACATGAGGGAGGCAGACTGGCGTCCTAAGCTAACATGAACTTAGGGAAGTAGGTTACTAAACTTAGTATTGGCTCGAGACCTCGGCGACTAAGGTATCATCGATCCCAAATGGACGTATCCCATTCATCAGTCTAGCCCTTTGAGAAGGGTCATTGTGCTGAAGGCCAATCGACTTACACTTGTATTAGACGAAAAATCTACAGTAATAACGTTATGGGGCGCTTGGCATTATGATCACACACACAACCAGTGCCGCAACCGGCTCGAGTCTTGTTCCATTAAGCTACAGTGGGCACGGCACTCAAAGTCTAGACGTGTGGACCCAACAGCGGAATCGACCCCACAATGGAATTTTGGCACCACCATCACCACCATAATAAAAGACATCTAGCTCATCCAATTTGCAAGCAATCTACACACAAATCTGATGGTTCTACTCCTCTTCGGCCCGGCGAATAGTCTCTAAACTACACACAATTATCTCCTCGGCCTCCTCGACTGCGTGGCTGTTCTGTCGCGTCTTCCTCCTTTTCTTCATCGGGGACTTCATCGAATCCTCCTTTGCCTGGATAATATCCTCGATCCTCGCAAATTTATCATTGGCATTCTCTTTTACCTTCT